AAATGATCATTATCCCTTACCACGAATTGTTTAGCTAGTCGACTCCACGGCTGGTTGCAAATTGCTGAGTATGATGGATGCATCTCAGGGATATCATCAAATTTCATTGGCCCCTGAGGATCAGATTAAGGTAAGTTTTGTGACGAGCAAAGAGACGTACTGCTATGTCGTCATGCACTTTGGGCTTAAGAATGTTGGAGCAACCTACCAACGATTGATGGATCGTATGTTCAAATCTCAGATCGGGCAAAATATCGAGGTATATGTGGACGGTATCTTGGTGAAGAGTAAGTCCTCGACCTCACACCCAGGCGACTTAAGGGAAACATTTAAAACCCTTAGGGCATTTGGTATGAAGTTGAACCCAAGCAAGTGTGCCTTTTGGGTAAAAGCAGGACGATTCTTGGGGTATATCGTCACAGAACGAGGAATCGAAGTAAATAGGGAGAAGGTGAAAGCCATACTCGACATGGATCCATCAAGGAATATAAGAGATGTGCAGGTCCTGACGGGAAGGATTGCAGGGCTAAGCAGGTTTATTGCTCGAGCCGCAGAGAAAAGCTTCCCATTTTTCAAATTACTCAAGAAGAAGTTGGCTTTCTTGTGGAGTGACGAGGCACAAATGGCCTTCGAAAATTGAAAGAATTCTTGGGCGAGCTACCTTTGTTGAAAAAACCTGAGCCCGGTGACGAATTGGTGCTATATGTATCTGTGGGTTCGGTATCGTTGAGTTCAGTGTTATTGCGAGAAGAAGGAGGTGTTCAACAGCCAATCTACTACACCAGTCGAGTTCTTCAGGGTGCGGAGACGAGATATTCTAGGATCGAGAAAGCTGCCTTGACACTGGTAATAACGTCTAGAAAACTAAGGCCATATTTTCTGAATCATGTGGTAGTGGTCAGGACGAATTTCCAGCTGGGTGAAACACTGGGCCGACCCACGGTATCGGGTCGACTCGTCAAGTGGGCAGTCGAATTGAGCGAATATTCCATCAAGTACGAGCTGAGACGAGCCACAAAGGCTCAAGACTTGGCAGATTTTATCCAAGAAGGCACCAAGGGAGAGGAAAAGAAATGGGTCATGCACGTCGACGGGTCCTCGACGGCTAAAGGGTCCGGTCTGGGAGTCGTCCTCGTGTCACCCGAGGGCGAACAACTCGACTTTGCCATTAGAATGCGATTTAAGGCCTCAAATAACGAAGCAGAATATGAGGCGCTAATCAAAGGAATTCAACTCGCAATCGGCGGAGGAGCGACAGAAATTGTGGCACATTCCGACTCTCAATTAGTTGTTGGACAAGTTTTGGGAAGTTGCAAGATCAAGGAAGAGCGGATGATGAAATATGTCGAGGAAATCCAAAGTCTTGTTCAGGGCCTAGAGAAGTTTGAACTAACACAAATCCCTCGAGAAGAAAACAAGCGAACAGATTGGCTCGCGAGAATTGCGAGCTCGAATGATGGAAAGATGGGAAATTCTGTCACCACCATGCATTTGGAAGGAAGCGTGTTGGGCGAGATGATGGAAGTCGAGGAAAAGGACGACTGGAGAAAATCGATTCACGAACTCCTATAGGGTCGAGTACCTATGGGAGATAAACAAGAAGCAGAAAGGGTCGCTCGATATCTAAGCAAATACTTCGAAGTAGACGGCGTCATGTTCAAAAAATCTTTGGTTGCGCCCTACTTGTGATGCGTTTCTGAAGACGAAGGAAACCATGTCTTGAAAGAAATACATGAAGGATGTTGCAAAGCACACATAGGATCACGAGCCTTGGCAGGCAAAGTTCTGCGAGCAGGATATTATTGGCCCAAGATGCGAGCAATGGCGATACAGCTGGTCCAAAAGTGCAAAAAATGTCAACGTCATGGTCAAATCACGCATATCCCCGTTGAATATATGACAACCATCAACACCCCAGTCCCCTTCGCACAATGGGGAATCGACTTGGTAGGCCCATTGCCAATAGGAACATGGCAGAGGAAGTTATTAGTGGTCGTTGTCGACTATTTTAGCAAGTGGGTCGAAGCAGAACCGTTGGCGAAAATCACAGAGGAAAAAATGATTCAGTTCTTGTTTAACAACATCTGCTATCGATTTGGAGTTCCGAAAGTGCTAATTTCTAATAATGGGACTCAGTTCCAGGGGAGGCGAATTCAAGCGTGGTGCCTCGACATGGGGATAAAGCAAAGATTCGCTTCGGTCGCACACCCCCAGGCCAATGGTCAAGTCGAGGTGACCAATCGAACCATTCTCCAAGGGCTGAAGAAGAGGTTAGAGAAGGCATCAGGCGCTTGGTTCGACGAGTTGACAACAGTCTTGTGGGCTTATAGGACGACTTCAAAAAGTTCAGCAGGCCAGTCGCCATTTCATATGGTTTACGGGATGGATGCACTCTTGCCCATCGAAGTCGGCTTGGATTCTCATAGGTCGACATTCTACGAGGAGAAGAAGAATGAGGAAATGATCGAAGAAGCCCTCGACATGATATAAGAAGGACGAGAGGAAGCTTGGGTGCTATCCATAGAATATAAGCAAAAACTGCGTGCCGCCTTCGACAAAAAAGTCCGAACCAGACGATTTCAGGTGGGCGACCTCGTCCTAAAATGAGCAGACGCTCTCAAACATGTCGAGAAACTCAAAGCTAACTGGGAAGGACCTTACACCATCACAAGGGTGCTCGAGAGGGGTGCGTATGAACTCGAGGATGGCGAAGGACGGCAACTACCGCGATCTTGGCATGTGATCCATCTCAAGCGTTTTTATGCTTAATGCAATGTTTTAAAACTCTTTTGTACTGAACAAATCCTAATCAAATTCAGTAATGCAATGAATTTCGAGTTTATGCTTTAATTGTGTCTTTTACATTTTCATGTCGATCCCATTATGATTACGCGAAAAATCGAATTTTTCAAAATGGCTATAAAGCCGACCAACTCCAACGACTACGAAGTCAGTTAAACACAACTACGAAGTTGTATTCTCGAGTGGAATCTCGACTAAGCTACGAAGCTTACGACTACGAAGTCGACCTAAAACAACTACGAAGTTGAACTCGAGTGGAATCTCGACTAAGCTACGAAGCTTACAACTACGAAGTCGAACTAAAACAACTACGAAGTTGTACTCGAGTGGAATCTCAACTAAGCTACGAATCTTACGACTACGAAGTCGACCTAACACAACTACGAAGTTGTACTCGAAAGGAATCTCGACTAAGCTAAGAAGCTTACGACCATGAAGTCGACCTAAAACAACTACGAAGTTGTACTCGAGTGGAATCTCGACTAAGCTACGAAGCTTACGACTAAGAAGTCGCTACTAAAACCTATGGAATTATAGTCGAAGGGAACCTCGAATAGACTACAGAGCTAGTTACTGTAACGTCGACTTAAACCAGCTAAGACGTTCCATTCATAATCCTCCATGGCACGTATAATACGAACAATCACATCCCTTGGAAAGTAGGAAGAGATTATCAGCTATGAAGCTGTTAAAAATGTTGCTCGACTTCGACCAGCTCGCAAGCCGGGTTGGAAGAAGACGAGTTGAAAAAATTTGTTTATCAGCTACGACGCTGTTAAAAATGTTGCTCGACTTCGAACAGCTCGCAAGTCGGGTTGGGAGAAGACGAGTTGAAAAAGCTTTGTTTATCAGCTATGAAGCTGTTAAAAATGTTGCTCAACTTCGATCAGCTCGCAAGCCGGGTTGGGAGAAGATGAGTTGAAAAAACTTTGTTTATCAGCTATGAAGCTGTTAAAAATGTTGCTCGACTTTGACCAACTCGCAAGCCGGGTTGGGAGAAGATGAGTTGAAAAAACTTTGTTCATCAGCTATGAAGCTGTTAAAAATGTTGCTCGACTTCGACTAGCTCGCAAGCCGGGTTGGGAGACGATGAGTTGAAAAAACTTTGTTTATCAGCTATGAAGCTGTTAAAATGTTGCTCGACTTCGACCAGCTCGCAAGCCGGGTAGTGAGAAGACGAGTTGAAAAACCTTTGTTTATCAGCTATGAAGTTGTTAAAAATGTTGTTTGACTTCGACCAGCTCGCAAGCCGGGTTGGGAGAAGACGAGTTGAAAAAACTTTGTTTATCAGCTATGAAGCTGTTAAAAATGTTGCTCGACTTCGACCAGCTCGCAAGTCGGGTTGGGAGAAGACGAGTTGAAAAAACTTTGTTTATCAGCTATGAAGCTGTTAAAAATGTTGCTCGACTTCGACCAGCTCGCAAGCCGGGTTGGGAGAAGACGAGTTGAAAAAACATTGTTTATCAGCTACGAAGCTGTTAAAAATGTTGCTCGACTTCGATCAGCTCGCAAGCCGGGTTGGGAGGAGACATACAAGGCAAGTTGAGAAACTTAAAAAGAAATCATTCGAGCATAATCAACCACGAGAATCGACAATAAACATAAACGACGAGCCAAAAGAGATAGAATTATATTAAGCAAATAGTTCATTACATCCGTAGTCGTCTTAACCCTTACAATTTTGAAAACGAGTTGGGTACGGCAAAAAGGAAAGGAAAGCGCATTACAAAAACAACTGGCCCCACGGCCATTACAACTCCAGTAAAAAACAAATTATTACAGGCAACAAAATAAGGTTCAATCTTTCGAAGTCTCAGCTGTCGACTTCTCACCAACATCAGGAAGAGGCTCCGTCCCTTTGCCCTCCTCGGCGTCAACAATCGGGGTCTTCTCACCCTCAGCAACCTCATCTCTGTTACCACCAGGTAACAGCTCCACCGCCCCTCCCTCGGCCTCAGTCTCCTCGCCTAGTGATTCCTCGTGGTCAGTTCCACTTGCCTCGACCAATTCGACTGGACCAGACAAAGGGGTAGGAGGAACCTCGAGCTGGTCAACCAACCTAGCCTTGCGGATAGCCCGGGCCTCGAGCCCTGACCACCAAGGGTAATCATCCGGAAGCAAGGAATCACCGGGGTAGCCGTCAGGGAGAGAAAGGGACCCCTTCAGCGCTTGGCGGTCGACTTTTCCCTCGAGAGGAGTGCCCTTCACCGCCGACTCCCATACGTTAAATGTGAAGTGAAAGTACTGGAGGGTTGCAGGGCACAACTTCTCGAGGAAGTCGAGAGAGTTGCAGAACGCAGTGACAACCTCCTTCCGGTAGGCGTCGAGAAAGACCAAGCCCATCGGCGATTTGAGGAAAGACTTGCGCCCTTTCTCTTTCCCGATCTCCCTTTCAGACACATTGTCCTCAATGGCTTTCGAAAGGTCGGCACGGAGTTCATCGACTTTCACAAGGGCGGCAACCTTCTCAGTCCTCAGCTTTGCAATCACCGCTTTTGCTGCTGCAAGGTTGTCCTCTTTCTTCTCGAGCTCGAGGACCTGATCCTCGGACTTCTTCTTGTAAGCTTGAAGCGTAGAGTCAGGTGATCTCGAATCCTCGAGAAGAGTTGGCATAACATACGCCACGAACTAAAAAACAAAACACAACAAACAAACACAAAAGGATTAGAATTGAATGAGGATAAAAGCAAAGCCCGATCAAAGTCAAGATAATTACTCGAGAAAAGCAGAGGAGAGCACAGTTAGCATGATGGTGAGTGTCGCGGTCGGCGCGAGCCTTATCAACAGAAGGGAGAACGGAATCAAAATACTTCGCCACCTCATGAGGCTCAGGATGGTTCCAAAGTCAAGATGGCCTCTCGAGGGTGATCTTCTCGACTTCAACGGCGGAGGGGGAAGAAGGAGCGACGGTCTTCCCCTTGTCCTTGTTCTTCAGGTGCTTAAGCGACTCGAGCACCAGAACAAACCCGGCCTCGTCTTGGGCCCTTTTGCACGAACCCGACGATTTCTGCTGTTGGACAACTGCCAGGATCACCACTTTCAACTTTTTCGCGGCAGTCTTCTCAACTGCCGCCCCCCTCACACCCGACCTAGAATCATCGTCGGGCTGTTTCGCAGAAGAAGGGTTAACAGACTTAGCACCGCCCTTAGCTTTCTTGGTATTCAAACAAGCTAAGGCTTTAACTGAAAAATACAAAGATAAAACGATTAAAAGGATGGTGGTCGTTGCTAACCAAGGCGAGCAATCCACACAATAAAAACACTGAGGACACATGATAGCAAGTCAAAGACGACATAAACTTACGAGGATCACCAACCGGAGAGGCATCCTCATCAACACAAATCCCCAACGATGTAAGGGAGAACGATCCATAACCATGAGACGAGCACTCCAGATGCACTTATTTAGATCGTCTAACATGGAAACGAATTGGGAGGACTTGGGTCTATTATTCTGATTAACTCTACTGGTTATCCAATCGTTACTGTACGGGAATTTGCCAGGGGCAGGTTGGATGTAGACAAACTTGGTTTTCCATTCGGTGACATTAGAAGAGAGATCTTCAATAAATGTCACGCCAAGGCGACGACCCAAGCAATGGGCGTCCTTTATGAACCTATAGCTATAACAGTAAAAAAAAACTCGGGAGAGAAATATCAAAGCTTTATTTTGGAAATAATTATGAACGCAACCATGATGCGGATTGCGATAGAAAAAAATTGGTTTATTGGCACACCGTATATGTCGCTAATCGACATAAGATCTGGTTGGATGGGAAATCGCAAGCCGAATATAATTTGGTCGACAAAGAAGGTGAAATATCTGGACGGAGGATGTAATGCCCAGATTTTATATTACTATTTATGGAGCTCGACAATATTTCCATAAATATTAAGTTTCTAAATTTGATGCATTATTTATATTTATTTGCATTAAATTAAACAAGTAGTATTAAAGTCTAAGCCATGAAAAATTCATTGATTTTAGATATTAAATTCAAAACTTCATTTAAGCGAACTGTTGTCCGATAATTTGATTATTCAAGCCCAATTAATTTTCGAGAGAACCCAAATAATTTTAGTCGGCCATTTTTAATTCGAATAGCCGAATTAATTTTCAAGCCCAAGTGATATTTTAAATATCGAGCCCTCGTAACATTTTAACTCCGGGCCCAATATTAATTTTCGACCCAAGTCAAAATTATTACTACAAGCCGTCATATTTTTTTAATTAACCGACCCTATTATATTTCTAAGTCTATTCTAGTAATTATTCGGCCCAAGTCGAATTTAATTATCGAACCCAATTCGAGTAACATTTCTAGCCCGACTTTAGTAATTGTTAGGCCCGATTTTAGGCCCAACAAGAACAAAACCCTAAGCTCTCCTACACCTTCTATAAATAGATTGTCTCCCCTTTTCCAACAACAAAAACCCTAGCACACAAACTACTATTCATCTTCTTCTACCTTTAGACTTGAGTTCATTTTTCAAGATCCACGCATTTAACACTTTTATTTTCAAGATCTTGTGTTAAAAACAACAAGATGTCTTAGCTTATTCAAGATCTAGTTGCAAAATTCAAAAACCCACTTTCAAAACACCAAGAAAATGAAGCTTCCATCCATCTCCAACATGTCTTGAACCATTTCCTGTGAGATCTCCTCTTCCCCGGCGAATCTCCGACGAAACCGCAGCTGAGCCGCCTCTCCACACGCACAGCAGCTCGTCCACGTCCTTTTCAGCCCGTTCACGCGTGCATCAAGCTTCTGTTCGAGCTCACCAGCCCAGACCGTGACCACCTCCGCACCAGGCCCGCAGCTCCGCCACCAACATCATTTTTCCGGCGATTTCGCACCAGCTCGCACACAGCAGCGGCTCGACGTCCATACGCACCCCTCCAACTCATTCACGCGACCAGCAGCGGCTCAACGTCCGGACATCCGTGGGCCAACTCTCCACAGCGACTCCACGCGTGCCTCCGAGCTTGCACCCGCGGCCCTCAACAGCAAACCGACCCCCCAGTTGCACTCCACGACTCAGCAGCTCCGTTTCTCGACCCTAGCTCCGACCAGAAGCATTTTCAGTCCGGTTTCAGCACCTTCATCTCGGATCTACAACCCATGCCCTTGTTTCCGACCCGATTTGGCTTCTTTGACTCTTGTTCTTAGCTCGATCTCTTTTTGACCCGCTCGTTTCGAGCATTTTAAGGTATAATAACAAAAACTCGATTAATTTGGCTTAGACTAATGATATGAATGAGATAAGAGAAAAATGATATGTGATTTGAGTGTTTTTGGAAAAAAAGGGACATACGAGCTTGTAGAGATTTTCGGGACCTCGTTAAATAATTTCGATAAAATCTTGAAATAAATACCATAATTTTTTTTGCGATATCTTGAGGCGTAGATTAAAATTTGATAATTTTCGGACATTGTTTGTTAGGTAAACGAGCCGGTCAAATGCGTTGATCGGTCGTAGTAAATTGGAGTTGGCTAGATTAGGAGTTGTCGTTTGACTTGTTACGTTGACCGTTGACTATTAGAATATTAAAGATGCTACGATTCGAGTTTCATAAATTTTGGTTACCGTTTGACTTAGTTATAAGATCGGGACTTTAGCCGAGGAATGCAGTATTTTAGAATATTAGCCGGATATGATTATAGCTGCAGTTGTGGATTATAGATTTATTATAAATCACATAGAATATATATATTAATTATCGACCTTAAATAAGTTAGGACTTTCGAGAATCAAAACCTTAGTTTCATCTGGTTCCGGTAATCGGGTATTTTTCTGGATCCGACTATAAATGTCTGAACTCTAGTACAGCCTGAATAATTATTAGCCATCGTACCGTAATTCGTAATGTGTATCGTCGTCTCGCGCACGTGATCGCCTCTCGTCCGACCGTTGGAGCCAAACCGCCGAGTGCGTGCCCGTGCACCGAGTCCGAGTCAAACCACCGAGTGCGTGCCCGTGCAACGAGTCCATCCGTCTACCGTCTACGCGCCGTATTCCTTAGCCGTGGTCCAAGCACGCTTCTGCGTCAGTGACCGTGGCACCGTTTCAAACCCGTGCATTGGATAAGCCGTGTCAGTCGAGTTCGTGCCGGCCCAAGTTGCCACGCCGAACCCGGACCACGGTCAAAGATAATAATATTTTCAAAATCAGCTCGTAAATTCCTAAAATGATTTTTAAAGTAGAGTGAGCGAACCTAGAAAATAGATATTAAAGATTCGGGTTTTATTCTGAGCCCAGTACTTAGAATATTTCACTCGTAAATTTTGTAGCTTGAGGAGAGTCGAGCCTCCATCAGCTACACATTTCAGATATTTCAGCATTTGCATTCGCCAGTTTCCAGGTAGGGACCATGTACTGTGTATTTCATCGCTTTTAATAATTTACCATGTCCGAAATCTATATGTGATTAAAATGAAGTACCGAGACGGATGAGTGATCCCGTCTTGGTCAAGATGTCAGATGTCAGTTGTGACTTCTGTTGAGTGGGCGATGCCCAACCTAAGTCTAGCGTCCAGATGGGGTGATTAGTGCCTTTCCTGGATTTCTGCGGGAGAGGACCCCCAGAGTGTGCACATGAGTACTGGTTTACCGTTAGTCCCATAGCCAGACCAGTTTTTTTATATATATGTTGATTTAATAGTTTGTTATTAATTGTGCTGAGTATATCAGTGCCAGTCCCGGCGGAGCACCGTTGATCCTTTGTGCTCACGCCTCCCCACTATCCTCTTTTTCAGGTGACGGAGTCCCGCGTGCAGCGTGAGCCGGATATGTGGTGGTGGTCATTAGTCAATATATTTGTGTTATGTCATGTTTTAAATTGTTTGAATTAATTATGCTTTATTTATGTTCGATTGCTGCATGTTTGTCTCGATGTTTGAATTTATAATTGCTTCCGCACTCTAGAACAATATTTCAGAATTTCAGACTTGAGTTTCAGATGTCAGATTTCAGACTAGTATTTCAGATGTCAGATTATGTGAGATTTTCAGATATGCATGTGTTATCCGGTATTATTCATGGCCTTAATTCTAGAATGAATTTACTTGGTCGCATGCATGATAGATTAAAGAGATAAAGATATAAGATTAAAGTTTAGTAGCATCCCGCGTTTTAAAGTTAAAGTATTTTTGAAAAAATTAATATGAGTTTTCGAAAATTAAATAAGTGCTTTCCATTTATAGCACGAAAAATTTACTCTGATTTTAGTAAGTTTAGGCGGGGTGTTATAGTTGGTATCAGAGCCACTTAGTGGTTCTGTATACTGAAATTTTAGTGAGATATGACCACGTCACGCTCACGCCACGCCGACTCCGAGGTACGTCACATGTACAGCTTTTATTTGCGAATGCATATTTAATTATAGTCAGATTATTTCAGAGGCGTTAGATCTATCCTTCGATTAAGATTTGAGAATTATAGTCAGAACTCTAGCGTACAAATAACTGACTCTGCTGAAATTCTGACTAAAGCAGTATAGCCAATTAATAAATAGCTACACTATACTTTAATAATTTATCAAATTCCGAAAACACCTAGCTTGGCTAGAGTTCTGGTTACACCACCATGATTCAAGAAGGAGAACCAACTTCCTCACACGTGGAAGTTGAGATAGCATGTTTAAGAAGTCAAAGACTTGTAAATTTCGCATACCTATGCCGCTCTCGAGTTGGAAGTTGTGGGCAGATGGACGATATGCCGATAGGAAAATTCTAGAAGTCGTGAAGAGAGAGAGAGAGAGAGAGACAAAGAGAGCACTTCACTAACAACGTCCGGAGAGTTAACCATTGTTTCAATCGCGTATACATATTCTCAAAATGTTACCGAGAAGACCACCTAACCGACAAATGAAATTCGATCGACCTATTGCTGGAGTAGGATTAGCGTCAAAAGCGCCAAACCGAGAGACTCCAAGAAGCTGCAAGAGCTGAAGACCCAAACTCCAAGAAGCTGCAAGAGCTGAAGACCCAGACTCCAAGAAGCTGCAAGAGTTGAAGACCCAGACGCCAAGAAATTGCAAGAAATGAAGAACGAGATCCGAATTGTGAATTGTTGGACCAAGAGCGTCACCCTAGGGTGCGCCCGATGGTTCGTGAAGAAAGGAGATGAGAACTAATTACCAAAGTTATGTAGACTCAAGGAGGAGAGTAAGTACTCACCTTTGAGAGTCGAGAAGTTGTCGACCCATGTGGGAAGACAACAAGTTCCAAGATTGAACTTGAAGCCCAGACATCCTCTATGAGAAGTTGAGGAGCCCGAAGCCTCAAGATCAGAAAGCACGAGAAAGTTGAGGTGATGAAGTCATCTCTAAGTACTAGTGGTGTACGACATCACTAGTTTTAGAATATACGTTGAAGGAAGAAAGAATAGAAAAGCCGCAACATTGAAATTTTAAGTACCCTTGGAGAAATTTTACCCATATAAGTAGCGAGACCCTCGATATGTATCAAGAAGAAGTTAAATCCAGTAGTAGTGCACCGAGTTAACTCAACGCCGCAGTACCATGAAGCCACTAGCATAAGACGTGGATACGACTGTGTTATGACTGCAGGCAATACTGACACCGCTGGTACATTGCACCGTTGCACGCATGTATAGCATGAAGGTGTTCCGCGCCCGTGGGCCCCGGGTAGTGGGTAAGCCGCATGCAACGTACCGTGTGCAACGTACCGCATTGTCAGGAGCCGGGTCACAGCAGGTCGAACCGCAATTGCTAGTTGTCCTCATCAATATTACAGATCGATGGACGATCAGAACGCTCAGATGCTTGCGTTTTGAACGAAAATTCCGTTTGAAAGAGCGATTTTCTATCGAGATAGTTGATAAATGTCGATTGGCATGACATCGTGCGATTTAGTACGGACAAGTGTGGATCGCTGACGTACAAGAAAGAAATAGCGAGAGAAAGATTCTCGAAATAGTAGACCAAAAGACAATAGAGAAGAGATCAGCAATCCATGATAAGACTAAGGCAACCCTGAACCGACAAAAGTCGCATACAGGCCAGCCACAGAAAGACTTTCAGACCAATGTAAACGGCAAGATGACCCCAAGGGTCACAGCCGCAAATGGGCAACAACTTAGTTACCCCAGTCATTTTCAGCATATAGCCGAGACGGCGAGCTAAGCCTAACATTTGAGGCTTTGTCGCCGAAATTCTCAGGGAAGGTTGAGCGATTTTTTTCCCACGTCTCGAATTTGAGAAGATGTGCACGAACTTTAACATGTGGAAGCCTTAGATGAGCCTCACGTTGATCCGAATTGACCTGTGAGATAGTACCTACGACCACCGTGTGGCGGAAGATATGCTAGTCAGAGAGTCGAGAAGTAGGTCTCTCTGAGTCCAAGAGTGTCGTCGTAGCTAGGGCGATGCTGCGAAGAGTATCGATAAGCTTCTTTTGAAATTCCCCAGTATAGTTCTAAAGTTTTGTCTTGGATTTTATCTAAGGCACATAGTGAGATTTTAGTGAGTTGCCATGACGAATGAGTACCAGCAAGACCGGCCAATGTTGGTACCGCCCTATTACAGTATCCAGACAAAGACTCCAGTTTCTTAAACTTGGGTTAACGGTGTATAATAGCCACAAGGCCGGGAAAATTATGGAGGCTTGAAATAAGAGTCACTAGTCCGAATTTACCTGGGGCTTGATACCGGAGTTGCCATGGCATATTCGAGATCACTAGCAGGAGGAAGACAGAATTCAGAGTTAGAAATCTTAGACTTGAAGCTTAGAATTTTGTCATATACCTTAGTTAGCATTTCTAAGTTCTTAGAAGAGTGCTTGGTTTGCCAGCAGGTGAATGCCAAGCACAAGTTCCACCCAGTTTCGTGCAACCATTAGAGGTTTTGTTGTGAAAGTGGGAGCATGTTACCATGGATTTCGTTACGGGACTACCCAAATCAAAAGAGCAGCTCGATGTGGTTTGGGTAGTTGTGGACCGACTGATGAAGTCGACCCGCGTTTGCCCCTGAGGATGACGATGACCATGGAGCAGTTTTTCAGTATTTACGTCCGTGGAATTACTAAATTCCACGGAGTATCCGTGACCATAGTGTCAGTCTGAGATCCCTATTATATAGGCTCATTCGAGATCCTCGATCGAGTGGGCGAGGTAGCATGCAGTTTGGCATTGCCACCCGAGCTTCGGGTGTGCACAACGTCTATCGCGTTTCGATGTTGAGAAATTACGTGCATGATCTAGGGCACGTGTTGAATTTCCGTAAGATTGAGGTCGAGCAGAACCTGACTGACGAGGAGCAGCCGATAGCGATTTTGGACCGAAAGGTCCAACGACTGAGGAATAGAGATGTATCTATAGCCCGCGTTCACTAGAGCCGCCACGACGACCCGTGACTGAGGCCACTTGGGAGCGAGAGGATGAGATCCGCGCTCGTTATCCAGAGTGTCAGTTCTGATTAGTAATATGTATCTTTCGATTCCTAGTTTCTAGTCGAGTCGGACTTATGTTTAGTTTTAGCATTTCCAAGGACGGAAATATTTTAAGGAGAATAGATTGTAACGCCCAGATTTTATATTACTATTTATGGAACTCGACTATATTTCCATAAATATTAAGTTTCTAAATTTGATGCATTATTTATATTTATTTGCATTAAATTAAACAAGTAGTATTAAAGTCTAAGCCATGAAAAATTCATTTGATTTTAGATATTAAAATCAAAACTTCATTTAAGCGAACTGTTGTCCGATAATTTGATTATTCAAGCCCAATTAATTTTCGAGAGAACCCAAATAATTTTAGTCGGCCATTTTTAATTCGAATAGTCGAATTAATTTTCAAGCCCAAGTGATATTTTAAATATCGAGCCCTCGTAACATTTTAACTCCGGGCCCAATATTAATTTTCGACCCAAGTCGAAATTATTACTACGATCCGTCATATTTTTTTAATTAACCGACCCTATTATATTCCTAAGTCTATTCTAGTAATTATTCGGCCCAAGTCGAATATAATTATCGAGCCCAATTCGAGTAACATTTCTAGCCCGACTTTAGTAATTGTTAGGCCCGATTTTAGGCCCAACAAGAACAAAACCCTAAGCTCTCATACACCTTCTATAAATAGATTATCTCCCCTTTTCCAACAACAAAAACCCTAGCACACAAACTACTATTCATCTTCTTCTACCTTTAGACTTGAGTTCATTTTTCAAGATCCAAGCATTTAACACTTTCATTTTTCAAGATCTTGTGTTAAAAACAACAAGATGTCTTAGTTTATTCAAGATCTAGTTGCAAAACTCAAAAACCCACTTTCAAAACACCAAGAAAATGAAGCTTCCATCCATCTCCAACATGTCTTGAACTATTTCCGGCGAGATCTCCTCTTCCCCGGCGAATCTCCGACGAAACCGCAGCTGAGCCGCCTCTCCACATGCACAGCAGCTCATCCACGTCCTTCCCAGCCCGTTCACGCGTGCATCAAGCTTCTATTCGAGCTCACCAGCCCAAACCGCGACCACCTCCGCACCAGGCTCGCAGCTCCGCCACCACCATCATTTTTCCGGCGATTTCGCACCAGCTCGCACACAGCAGCGGCTCGACGTCCATACGCACCCCTCCAGCTCATTCACGCGACCAGCAGCGGCCCAACGTCCGTACATCCGCAGGCCAACTCTCCACAGCGCCTCCACGCGCGCCTCCGAGCTTGCACCCGCGGCCCTCAATGGCAAACCGACCCCCAGCTGCACTCCACGACTCAGCAGCTCTGTTTCTCGACCCTAGCTCCGACCAGAAGCATTTTCAGTCCGGTTTCAGTACCTTCATCCTGGATCTACAGCCCACGCCCTTGTTTCCGGCCCGATTTGGCTTCTTTGACTCTTATTCTTAGCTCGATCTCTTTTTGAGCCGCTTGTTTCGAGCATTTTAAGGTATAATAACAAAAACTCGATTAATTTGGCTTAGACTTAATGAATGAGATAAGAGAAAAATGATATGTGATTTGAGTGTTTTTGGAAAAAAGGGACATACGAGCTTGTAGCGATTTTTGGGACCTCGTTAAATAATTTCGATAAAATCTTGAAATAAATACCATAAATTTTTTTTGCGATGTCTTGAGGCGTAGATTAAAATTTGATAATTTTCGGACATTGTTTGTTAGGTAAACGAGTCGGTCAAATGCGTTGATCGGTCATAGTAAATTGGAGTTGGCTAGATTAGGAGTTGTCGTTTGACTTGTTACGTTGACCGTTGACTATTAGAATATTAAAGATTCTACGATTCGAGTTTCATAAATTTTGGTTACCGTTTGACTTAGTTATAAGATCGGGACTTTAGCCGAGGAATGCGGTATTTTAGAATATTAGCCGGATATGATTTTAGCTGCAGTTGTGGATTATAGATTTATTATAAATCGCATAGAATATATATATATATATATATATATATATATATATATATTAATTATCGGCCTTAAATAAGTTAGGACTTTCGAGAATCAAAACCCTAGTTTCATCTGGTTCCGGTAATCGGGTATTTTTCTGGATCCGACTATAAATGTATGAACTCTAGTACCGCCTGAATAATTATTAGTCGTCGTATCGTAATTCGTAATGTGTATCGTCGTCTCGTGCACGTGATCACCTCTCGTCCGACCGTTGGAGCCGAACCGCCGAGTGCGTGCCCGTGCACCGAGTCCGAGTCAAACCACCGAGTGCGTGCCCGTGCACCAAGTCCATCCGTCTACCGTCTATGCGCCGTATTCCTTAGCCGTGGTCCAAGCACGCCCCTGCGTCAGTGATCGTGGCACCGTTTCAAACCCGTGCATTGGATAAGCCGTGTCAGTCGAGTTCGTGCCGGCCCGAGTTGCCACGCCGAACCCGGACCATGATCAAACCGAGCTGCACATAGTCAAGCGAATGACCGACCAGCTCTGAGTGAGCTTTCGGTCCAGTTCAGTTGAACCGGTCCGGTCAGTCCGGACGGTTCGAGATATATTTCAGATAAATTTCAGATTCAGTCAGATTAAGATTTCAGATATATTTAAGATTTTAGATATATTCAAGATTTCAGATATAGTTAAGGTTTCAGATATAGTTAAGATTCTAGATAGATTAAAGATCCAAATATTTTTTTTTTTAGATTTCAGTCAGATTAGATTCAGTCATATTTTAGTTCCAGACTTAGAAATATTTCAGAGAACTCTAGAATGCCTCAAAGACAATAATATTTTCAAAATCAGCTCGTAAATCCCTTAAATGATTTTTAAAGTAGAGTGAGCGAACCTAGAAAATAGATATTAAAGATTCGGGTTTTATTCTGAGCCCAGTACTTAGAATATTTCGCTCGTAAATTTTGTAGCTTGAGGAGAGTCGAGCCTCCATCAGCTACCCATTTCAGATATTTCAGCATTTGCATTCGCCAGTTTCCAGGTGGGGACCATGTACTGTGTATTTCATCGCTTTTAGTAATTTACCATGTCTGAGATCTATATGTGATTAAATTGAAGGACCGAGACGGATGAGTGATCCCGTCTTGGTCAAGATGTCAGATGTCAGTTGTGACTTGGTTGAGTGGGCGATGCCCAACCTAAGTCTAGCGTCCAGATGGGGTGATTAGTGCCTTTCCTGGATTTCTGTGGCAGGGGACCTCCAAAGTGTGCACATGAGTACTGGTTTACCGTTAGTCCCATAGCCAGACCAGTTTTTTTATATATATGTTGATTTCATAGTTTGTTATTAATTGTGCTGAGTATATCAGTGACGGTCCCGGCGGAGCACCGTTGATCCTTTGTGCTCACGCCTCCCCACTACCCTCTTTTTCAGGTGACGGAGTCCCGCGTGCAGCGTGAGCCGGATATGTGGTGGTGGTCATTAGTCAAGATATTTGTGTTATGTCATGTTTTGAATTGTTTGAATTAATTATGCTTTATTTATGTTCGATTGCTGCATGTTTTTCTTGATGTTTGAATTTATATTTGCTTCCGCACTCTAGAACAATATTTCAGAATTTCAGACTTGAGTTTCAGATGTCAGATTTCAGACTAGTATTTCAGATGTCAGATTATGTCAGATTTTCAGATATGCATGTGTTATCCGGTATTATTCATGGCCTTAATTCTA